CATCTGTTACTTTGTATGGAGTCAAATTAAACATCATGTTGTTACTGGGTGAAGTCAATGAGATTTCAATGTGAGTGAGTTTCTCAGAAATATTTTCCAAAGGTAACTCTTGGCTATAACGGAAAATATTCTTCAATGGCGTCATTAAAACTGAACAAGGAACTCCATTATCAGGATTTTGAATGATTCGCTCTCTGTCAAATCTCTGGCATATATTACCATTCTCAGTCTTACAGAACGCAATGGCTCTGTAAATGAGACAAAAAGTTACAAACAGAAATTGGTTATTTTGTTGTATTACTTACGTGAATGGTTCATATTTATATGAATTTTTCCACAAACAATCTTCTTCGTCACCATCAACTATAAACATAGATGAAGTTTCTAATGTGTGGCCAACTAATTTCATGTTTTGCACCTTGAATGTATCTATCGAACAGAGTGTAACAAAATATTAATAAATTGCAGAAGTTTGTTCAGATCTTTTGAGTACTTTTTATTGTTGGAAAGTCCAAAATCGTAACATAAATAATTATCTCTTTAGAACTAATTATTGGTTCAATTTTTGCGATTCTTGATGCTGAAATTGTTCCAGTCTTGACAAGTGCTTCTTTAACTGCATCTTGGATTTGATAATAATATTGTTTGAAGTAATCACAAGGAGTATCTAAAATATTGAACGAAATTTCCGTATATGAATAGACAAGAAAATTTAAAGAAGGCATGATTTGCCGATCTGACACAGATATTATATTTGAACATAATACATTTGTAGTTACCTGTGCAAGTGTAGAAAAGTGCTATTGTCTTTTTGGCTTTTGGGTCGGAATAGCAGTCTTTAACGGAGGAATTTTCAATTCTATCTGAAGAACTCTTTTCATAACCATAATTGAAATAACTTGTTGAAAAGTTAGCAACCATTTTTTCCTGAAATATTGGAAGAAACATTCAGCGAAAGGAATAAAATGTAAGTCAAGATATGTAAATTGCGTAAACTTAAATAATCCAAGATTAAAACGAGCCAATCCATTTTAGAATCTAAGTGACCAGTGACCTTTTCATTAAACTTGAATGTTTCGTGTTCGAGTCAATTTAGTCTAGGAACTTTTCTGAACCATTCAACTTTATATTTTCCTATTTCGAATCAACCTTAAACTGTTTTGCATTTATGAAAGCGATTAAAAGGATTTGAAAATTGATCTAACAAGAAAACTTCACGAAGTGGTACCAGCCGATTTTGATGTGATTTCTTTGCGAAAAATTGCTTTGAGAAATCAAAACTTTCAATCTCCCATAGATGAAAATTGTTAGAGTCTCAATTTTTTTGATGATCGATTTACACTTTATCTGTGTGCCCTATAACTATTATCGCAGCACCAAATGACAGACAAAAGATTGAATTTCTACACTGAGAAAATTCCGACATTTCAAAACTATTAATAGATTTTATATGTTTATTTGTAGCGCTAAATTTTCGATTGGAAACCCTGCAAAAGTGCGTATCAGCAGCTAAAAAAGAAAACTCTTTATTTACTTGACGAGTGCTTTCGAATGAGCTATAGAACATCGAAATCGATTGGTGCCACTTAGTAGAGTTCCCTTGTAAGCTTGGTAAGCAAACCCAGAATATTGAATTAGATCATTCAGAACTTGAACCTTAATGCTTCGTTTTATTCTTACATCTCTGTCATAGGCTTTCAATGTTGTACCAACAAGTGTGTAATCAGTTTGTTTATCCTCCTAAAATGAGAATATTTTTATTATATCAATAATTTCTGCGTGGTTTTGTGTGACTTACTGTACGTTCACTGAAATACTGAGTTGTAACGACCTTTGGATAAAATTCTCCACTAACCACCTTATTTATATTGTTCATTTCCCATGCATGTATTCCAATCTCTTCTCGATTATCCTGAAATTATAATATTGTTTTTAAATTATTGAAGTAAAAGATGAGAGTTAGGAATGTTATTTGTCTTCTTACAAAAAGTACTGGCCCCAAGTAACGATAATTCAAATTAAAGTTGAGTAATTTATTCAAATCAAGTTTATAGATGCCATAAGTCAATGATGAATCTTCAACTAGACCAGGTGCTGATAAATCCATTGGAGAAATGGAACAATTTCCTGTCTCTGTAAATTCGTATACAACTCCTAATTGGTAATCATAAATTATATCAGTTGTAATGGTTTCATTATCCTTCCCATAAGTAGAAGTTTTGATTCGCGCGATTTGGTACTTTTCATCAGCATAAACCTGTAAAACATGGATTCCATTATTCATAGAGTTAACATTAAAATACTGCTTACTTGTTCTTTCTTAGCTGGTCCTGCATTTGAGCTTTTGGTTTTTGCAATAAAGTGTATTGTTTGTTGAGTTAATTTTGGAAGAGGCGCTCTGGCTTTGATTGAAGATTGACTAAAGTATTTATCGCAAACTATTCCAGGTTCAGGCTAAAGCAATGTTCAAATTTGAAGAGAAAAGGTTATTTGGTCAATAAATGAACATGAATAGCACAGTTGTGTAATTTTATTACTCACCGTAACAATAGTATCAAAATTTTGGTCAACTCGAGCAATAGCATATAAGTCGTACCAAAATGTACTGTCTATTAAAACTTTCGATTTGGGGTCATAACCAGTAAAAAAAGCCCGTGTCGGCCTTTTTAATCCTTCAACACTGTTACCTTTGTAGTAAAACGTCACATTGAGATGTGGATCAAGAGCTGCGGTCGCACTATGCTGTTTAACGCCCCTAATAATATCATCTTGACCTAGAATCTAAGATTGTATTGAATTAACCCGTGTGGATAAATTATGGGACTTTTTGGTTTTTTTCTTATACACTACTCGTCAAAAGTATCTCGATAGATAATGCTTGTATCATAATATTTCTATAAAAATTCACGTGCAATAGTTAGATAGTATAGCTTTGATATTTGAGAAATTAAGAATGAAAAAACAAAAGCCACTTCACAATCATCGCTCAAACTTAGAGAAGAAAAATATGTTTTAAAGAAATTAGTTTAATGAATAACCCCATGAAAAATTGATATAACTAAAAAAATACATCAATCAATGAAACTCGCCAAGACCTTTCAGATGTAGTACAATCGAAAAAATTTGGATTAGTCGTGCGAAAGATATTCAATTTTACATGGAATTTTCGTTTCAAAAAGTTTACTTACGAAGTCGTTAGTCTCAAAATTTGTTTCTGTCAATGAGATTTCAACATATATATTATTAAAAAGAAATTTTCAAAAATTTTTTTCTTAGAGTTTAAGCATTGATTGTGAAGTGACCCTTGTTTTTTTCATTCTGGATTTCTCAAGTATCAAAGCTACCCTATTCAACCATTATCTTACGCGATATAAGAAAAAAACTAAAAAGTCGCATAATTTATTCACACAGGTTATTTGGTCAATTACAAGTTTTCTCAAATATTGAGTGAGACTTATTAATTATTAAATAAGTTAGTAAAAAACTTACCCAGACAGGAGCGAATTTATCAATTCTGAATACAACTGAAGGTCCAACCAATAACAAATGAGTACCTATGGTATTCCCAAGCTTGGTTATGTAACCATTCCAACCTTTACGATCTTTGCGATACACATAATAATCAAAAGAAGCTCCTAAGATCAATTGAGATAGAAATCTTTATAACAATCAGAAGCAAAGCTAGATTTTCCAGCGCGAACACTAACCATTAAATAATCGTTCGTATTGATTTTCGCTTGTATAAAATACATTGAACGGCTTTTGGTTGTTTATCTGGACCACTATTTTGCCTCTTATTGTTCCATTTGCAGATTTAATGTACTCGTCGACGTTAATTTCCAACGAACTATCTTCCTACATAAAATTATGATAAGTGAATGACTGATAGACAAATGAAATAAGAAACGTCTACTTACGTTGTCCGTAAGCTTTGCTTTTATCAACCAGTTACCATCTTCAATGTCCAATGGAAGCTCAACGAGCATCACTGAAATAGTTTATTTGAAATGAAAATGTAGCACAAAAAGTCTTCACAATCGATGTATTAAGATTTACCTGAATAAACTTCATTGATAATTGTTGTCCAAGTAATTACAAACACTGTTAACAAAAGCATAATGTTCAGATGATGGGTAAGACTGACGATACATAAAAAAGTTTCACCTGAATAAATATCAAATCTTTAAACGCGAATTCCGGTTATTTTCCCCTGGAATCAGTTGATTATGAAACGCCTAGAATAAATTAATACAAAATAGCAATGTTATCATTTATATGATGATTATCAATTTTTGATAAAACGTCTTTATTGGTATTAATTGTCGTGCAAATTGAACTTATGTGCTAATTGTGATGTTAGTGACGAACTCAGGTAATAAGTGAATTGGATTGGAATTTTGATTTTGTATATCGGATGGTTGACTAGTTAGACACAAAACATACAAATAAACTGGTTTTTTTAATCGATAATCATCAGTAGTCAAGGGTTTTTTATTTTTTGTGATAAAATATTTGTTATACTTATTAGGGTGCTTCAGCGAATGGGACAGTGATAGAACTTTAATGAAGAGGATGTCGAATTTACTCATTTTCGATCAATTTTTTCTTATGCATTACCTCAGGCTGTTTCTAAAAATGTTTGCATTATTTATCTATCTGACTCACCGTTCGTTAGGTATGCACGAAAGGACTAAGAAAATTGAGGGTGCGTTAGTGATAAAAACGTCCATGCGAAAGAAACACAAACGAAATTAATGATTTATATATTTAGTGAAACGATCGAGCTGAGTCCATACTTTCTGTTTGAATAGCAGAAAATTAGCACTGAATAAGTCGAAATTCGATAAGAACCGCAAAATCGTATTTTGACCATTTCAGGTCTATGCACGTAATAAGACATTTTTGAGATATATCTTTACCAGATTGATAAACTTTATTAAAATTTACCAATGAAACTATTGATCAACAGACATAAAGTTGGTATTAATATTTTATTCCAGTCATTCATTTACACGAACAGCATAATCAGATGACATTTGCAATGAACCGTCACCATTCACAGATTGACTTTCGTCGTTTAGCTGCTTAGACCAACTGAATGTGTTACGATTGTAGATTTGATTTGCATCGCTCTTAACAGATGTAAATCTTGGATATGCAACTGCAACAACAATTCCAGAAATCAGTCCAGTGGTAATGAATAGTACGATGATTACGTAAATCATGCCAGAATTTGTAGCTTTAGTGATAACTTCAGCATTTTGTTGCCTTTTCTCATTCTGTTTCGCCCTTTCGTAATTTTGACAGGTATCAGAGTGAATCAGTTTCTCATTAGTATCGCGTCTTGAATATTTTGATAAATGACAAAGACTCCGTGTTTTACCATACACTGGGCAATAATTGAAAGACTGACAAACTGCGTCATTATCGTTCCAATGATAACAAAGAGCAGCACATTGATCAGCATTGAGGTTCAGTTCCGTGTGAAACACGTCTTCGACAATCGATTTTCCAGTTATTGCAAATCTGTCCAATGCTTTTGCTGTGACACAAATAAAGTCAAAATTCAATTTGAATATTTCTTGTGATAGATACATTAACAGAATGACTTTACTTACGTATATAAATATCGCAGCTTTCACTGTAAACGCTTGCTTCATCCGTATAATAACCTGCTAAACTACATGAACCACAACAAAATTGAAATGTTTTACATGAATCGGAATTGGAACAAAAAGAGGCACATTTTCCAAGAGAACTCTCGAATGCTACAGACAATTCAATATGGTTAAATCTTTTAATCGCAATTTTCTTATATTTTGTTAGATTATCAATCAAGTAGGTATCACACGATGCATCGTGAGTTATTTTGTCAGATGAATGATTTGAAATCGTCGATACAAAGCATCCAACTCTGTCAGCATAGGTGCAAAATGAAAAAGACCGGCAATTATCTTGAGCTGACTGAACACATTTTCGATGACAAGAACTTAAATCAGTAGTACCAACAATTTGAATTGTGTTAAGTTTGTCTTCGATTAGCTTTGCGTTTTGAATGACCATTTCAATGAATTGGATACAGCGTCATTAATTTTGGTTACATCTAGTACTTGGTATGCAGTCAATTTGACCTTTTTGTTGTTATTGGGTGAATTCAATGAGTTTTTTATCTGAGCGATTTTCTCATGAATATTTTTCAAAGGTAATTCTCGGCTATAGCGGTGAATATTTCTCACTGGTTGCGTAAAAATTGAACAAGAAATGCCATCATCATCTTCAATTTCCTGTAGCTTTCTATATTCGAATACCTGACACTTATTACCATTCTCAGTCCATTTTAACTACTATTTTGCCTCTTATTGTTCCGTTCGTAGATTTAATGTATTCATCGATTATTATTTCCTTTGAGCTATCCTGCAATAAAAAATTGTGTTGAGTGAATGACCGACAGGCGAACTAAATAAGAAACGTTTATTTATACTTACTTCAATTGTAAGCTTTGCTTTATCCAGCCAGTTACCATCTTCAATGTCCAATGGAAGTTTAGCAGGCATCACTGCAGTAGTTCACATGAAATACAAATGTATCATTAAAAGTCATCGCAGTCGATGTAGTGAGAGTTACCTGAATAAACTCCATTGATAAATGTTGCACAAGTAATTACAAACACTGTAAACAAAAGCATATTGCTTTTTTAATGGTTGAAACTTTTATTAACTGAATCGAAATTGCAAATGTTTTAAATTATGCTTTTTCTTCAAAATCAAATGGAAAATGAAAACGCCTATTAATATAAAATCAAATGAATAGACACAAAATGAACAATAACAAGGTTGATTTCGCTGTCTTTTGTTTTCGAACTATCAAATTGATGGTGTCCTGTAAACTCGCCACATTTAAGCTTTAAAACAAACAGAGAGTCAAACCCTTTTACAACTTTAAAGAAATCTCGCCACTAATTGTTACAGCTATGAGTAGTACGAGAACATACGCTTCAACTCCACAGACCGGAAACGGAATTACCTCCACCCCCTTTCGCATGATTAATTTTACGCTCGGCTGACTTAACGCTCGACTGACCTAACGGCTGACCTTGACACCGTCTTTCGATATTATTGTTTTTAATGCTTCAATGATTTTTGACACCATCTTACGGTATCGTTTTGAATGCTTCATTGATTTTTACACTCGACCGTTTGATTTTCTTAATACCATATTCCCTTCTGCAATTAACAAGTATAATTACTGAGGGTCAAATGTCAAAATGGGCTTTTACCACTTTTATGCTAATTCTCTCATAAGGTGATTTATCACATTCACTATTTTCAAACATGAGAATTAATTGATCAAATAATGAGTTTATATTGTTTGAAATGTAAAGTGATTAATGGAATTACTTAACTGTCAAATAAGGAGATTATTCATGAAATGGTTTTTCCCTTTTCATGAATTGAGATTCATGGAATTACTTTTTTACCAAATAAGGAGATTATTCAATAATTACAGTTGTTCAGGAAATTACTCAGCTGTCAGATGAGATAATTTATTTAAAAGTTGTTTGGGAGTCTTGTATTTAAGCTGAAATTTTCTTAAAAAAAATATCACTAAATTCCCATCATTCTACCAGTTCACTTTAACTATAACTATTCTTATCTTTAACCATGGGAAATGGTAAGTGTGCTTTTCTAAGGCAATACTTTGCCGATATTGCTTTGTTTGAATTTTTTTTCTCTTCCTGCCAGAAAATAACCAGATGATCATCAGATCAACCCGGCGGAACCCTCTTCTGGTTGCTGGCGCATCAAATGAGCAAGATCATCCTCCTCAGCAAACTAGGGTTCCTGGCGTATCATCTGAGCAAGACAATCCATCTGAGCAAACTGAGGTTGCTGCCACATCAATGGAGCAAACAGGACAAAGAATTCGCGTTCGTGATCAATGTTCAGAGTGGCGTTGCTCAACAACTAAATGGGCCTTTGATTCGGATGGTAGACGACAGTGTGAAATAAAATTTGAGCGAGCTCGCACTTACCATGAAAACCTTGAAGATCAAGAGGACCTCACTGACAAAAACGAAGTCTCTTGGTTGGAGTTAAAGGATACGCCATCGCTCGATTCCCTGGAAGAAGAAGCGAGAAAAGCAATCGTAGATTATCCAGTACGTTTTATGTGCCTTTATTGTGAAGCACATTCAAGAGGATGGTGAATCTTCGGGAGCATGTGGTTGGTAAAAACCACCCAAATCACAAAAAATGGCACATTCAGTGTCCAGCTCGCAGAGACGGAGAAGAAATCCCAAACGAGGGATTCGTTGATGAGGGAACTCATCTTCCACGAAAATATCCCTGGGGCGCATTCAAATGTGTGGACCCGTCATATGACGAAGGTAGAGAGATATTCAAAGTATCAGAAACTATGCAGCAACAATTTGACACTAACTATATTGATTTCCGTTCGCGGGCTAATGTACCTTCATAAATGTAATTGCTTTAACTTACATTTCAATAAAAGACTCAATTTCTGAAGTAAATTCAACTTTGAATCAATCTCTTATGGTCTTATCTTTTCTTTGTCAAAGGGCGCTAGCGAGTACAAGGTCCAGGGGGTAGAATCATTTCCCCGAAATTATTCATATATGTTCCAAAATTTTTACACAATTTGTTTTTAGAAATTTGATAGCTTCGGCAGGAAGTTTATTGCCGGTAATTATTTCTTCTTCTTCTTTGAATGCATGATCGATTGATTTAATTTCACTTTTCACTAATGTGGAAAAGATGAAAGCATCTTCAATTGTTCGAGCTGGAGCAATTGGACAACAAACGAATTCTCTCGGTCTTAGTACACTAAGAATGAAATTCACATCACAGAGATATATGTCGAGTGGAGCTATATCCTTGTCTCGGAAGCAAAGAAGATGATTACGCTTGATAAGCATGATTCCACCGCTTGTTGATTCGATGGTCAACTCATCGACAACCTTTTGAGCGGGAGTTTTCCCTTTTAGCACTTCTTGTATGAAGATGTCAAGTTGAATTAACTCCCATCGCTTCATGTTGACACCGTAAGAAGTGGGATAATCCTTCACAAAAAGACGCAAGTCAGCACGACTGCAAACAATTTTGTCATGTCTCAACATAAAGTCATTGCGAGTACAAGGTCCAGGGGGTAGAATCATTTCCCCGAAATTATTCATATATGTGTCGAAAATTTTTACACAATTTGTTTTTAGAAATTTGATAGCTTCGACAGGAAGTTCAAGCTGAATTGATTCAATTCAATATCATTTTGGTAGCTTTTGTATCGAGAATCGTTATTTAATTGAATACATTATAGCTTTTTTGTTGAATTTTTTGGCTGCTTAGCTTGCAACAGAACTATCCTGTAGGACATTTCTTTCAATGAATCGATAGAAGCACGATAATGTCTCTTTCGAATTAATACAAAATGCTACCGAAACGATATGAAATTGAATCAATTCACCTTGAGCTTGATCTTTGTACACGAATTTCTTAATCAAAATTGATAATTACTTGCCATAGCTGTAACTATTAGTGGCAAGATTTCTTTAAAGTTGTAAAAGGGTTTGACTCTCTGTTTGTTTTAAAGCTTAAATGTGGCGAGTTTACTCCCTGTAAACTCGATAGAAAGTTACATCGTTACAATTTAATAAAAAATACAGTTCATGCATAGACTCCCCCCCTTTGACCATATTTCAAAATACAGCTCGTTTTTGATTTTTGATTTTTTGTCTTTTTTAGTTTCATTTAAATATCTCTGAAACTAATGAAGATATTTAATTTTTGTTAATTGCAAAAAATTTCTGCATTACTTAAGCTACTGATTATCGAAATTCATCTCAATACGATAAACAGATCGAATTCAATAAAATAACAAATTTGGTTCGATTTGCGTGAGACCCCCTAATAAGTTAACTTATAAATGTTGACTTATTTATTGTGATTTACAATATTCAATGGAAGTTCATTGGAAAAATTAGTGATAATCCTCTTCACATATACTGAATAAAGTAACTCTTTAACTCGAGAGTTTTTGTCTTATGAAAGTAAGTTTTGGTAATTTGAACGCTGGTTTTGTTGTTTTGAAAGCTCAGTGTCTACACGCAGCGGTTCTACTCTTTTGAATGCTGATTGTGTTCATATGATAGTTGGTTCAATTCAAACGAGAATGATTGTATATGAAAAAGTAAATGTGCAGAAATCAAACATGCAAAAACATTACATTTTTAAGTACATGAATAATATTTGCACTCAAATCAATGTCAATAACTTTGAGCACAAAAAAATAATTGGAATACTGATGAACAAGATGAATTGAAAATCGCGTTCGATCATCTATGCGTACCAACAATTTTTGGTACCAACAAAGTCATCTATTGATTTGTGTGACACACTCAAATGCAAAACTATTGACAGATAAAACTAGTAATGCCATCTTTTGACTGGGATAAGAATTAAAATACTGGAGTGATACCAGATGCAGTTTTCAGTCTACCAGGTACATCCAAGTGATGCAAAGTTTCTCTCGATAAAAACTCATATTCAACTCTAAACTGGAATTCAATTTCATAGAATGGGTCAAAGAATGTAATCCCGAGAACTAAGGGTTAATTTACAATTCGGTTTCTGATTTGTTTACGTGCTTAATGGAGCGAAATTCAAATGTTTTTCAAGTCTCTTCAATTATTAATATAAACATTAATATTGAAGAGTTGAAGCTAGTTTCGCAGTTTAATAAAAATCTGGCTAAAGGTAAATTTTGATAAGCTCTTACTTGAAAATCAATTCACTAAATTTGCGGTTGAAGAAAACTAGTGAATCGAGAAATCACGAAAAACTCATGCTATTCAAGTTTTTGTTGCCATTGACTTGGAAATAATTGAGACTTTATGATCATAAATTTCATTACACTTGAGGATATCCCGAGATAGTAATAGAATGTTGAAAAAGCTGAGCACGAATAAATGCTTCGCGTGAGCTGATTTTCCAACAACACAAATTTCATTCCTTTTTTTGCTGAACAAACGAACTTGAAATATAATACTA